TCCAAAGAGATATTCTTTATAAAAGTTAAGAGTCAACCACGCCTACCTAAAACGGTTCGTTCTAACACGCCCCCACATGTCTACGTCACGATGTGGCGTAGATTCTGGGTTCAAAACGTAGTTCTGGGTTTTTTAGCTTGTTTACTGTACACCTTGTCACACAGCAGCTTTCAGCCATTGTTTTGTTTTTTGTTATAAGTCAGAAATGACAAGGAGGCAGCTTCCCGCAATACAAAGTCAATGGAGAGCGCTGGATTGCCCCCCCTCTAAGTGGGTTGGAGCTGAAGTCTGCAGGATGGTATAGCTCTCCTGGTCTGCTGCAACAGTTACTGGGGCCTCAGAAGAACAGTGAGTTACTATATTGCATTAACAAATAATAAATATTAATTCCCTCACATTATTGCACATTTCAAAAGTAAAGCATTGACCATCTCCATAGACTGTATGTTGTCGGTTTGTCTGTAAACACAGTCTTGACTGCACAACTCTTGGCACAGTAATTCAATATGATAAAATGTGTAGCGGTTCATGAAGGTAAAAGGAAATAGAAATAATTCACAACCAATGTGTTTTCCTTCTGAAGAAGTAAAAAAAGCTGCTTAAATCGCTTGGTCAATTGCTTTTGATTTGCTACTATTTATACTATATTAAAATAAAAGCCATTGTGAAATAATTATGGCACATAACGTCTTTTCTGTTTTTAATGTGTTTTCTTTTCAGAAATTAGGCAACCTTCAATGCCAGCTACTAGATCTTCTGTGAGAGAATCATCTGCCATAGAAACAATGACAATGACTACTGGACATCAGTAATCTAATTATTTACATTATTCTAAATAAGCCAATATTATGATTATGGTGTTTACATGAGTTGCTTTTAGAATATTCCTTTCATGTTCCTGTTTTACATGTTATAGTACATAGTTCGATTAATGGCACACGTCATTACGTCCCCATGTGACGCCATCCGACGTCCCCTCCGGAATTTAACATATAAACATATAGTTAGTCTTCGTGATGATGCCATGTACAGTTTTGGGTGTTTCATTTTTAATTTTATGAAAGCTTCAAGTGCAGTTAATTATTTGTACGTGCAAACAGACAATGGTGGTGTTGAAGCTCTTTTATTTGCCGTCAAACGGCTGAGCACTGCCGTGTGTGTCTCCTGTCGCAAAATGCGGTGAAAAGTCCTACACTTGATGCAGTTAAAAAGGATCTTTTTAAATCTTGTGAAAAAACATGAAGATCTTAATTCTTCAAATTACAGGTAATTTAAATACCATGACTTTCTTTGGCAGCTTTGGTTAGAACATTTATGCAACATCTTTATTTTTTTCTCACAACAATGGATTTCATAATAATGATCATATTTTATAACACATAGAAGCTGATACACTGTGTATTTTAACTTTCACAGTGATCCATACCTTCTCAGGTTGTGACCCTACAAGCGCCTTTTATGGCAAAGGCAAAAGAAAGAGGATTACCTGACTGCATTTACAAATCACATTTATGCAACATCTTTATTTTTTTCTCACAACAATGGATTTCATAATAATGATCATATTTTATAACACATAGAAGCTGATACACTGTGTATTTTAACTTTCACAGTGATCCATACCTTCTCAGGTTGTGACCCTACAAGCGCCTTTTATGGCAAAGGCAAAAGAAAGAGGATTACCTGACTGCATTTACAAATCTGGGTAGCAGTTTTACCTTGGACCAGTCGACCTTTGAACTACTTTGCAAATATGTGAGCCACCAGTATGGCCAGTCATCTGCTGAAACTGTGCACGATGCAAGATACAAGAGCCTTGCTCCATGGCATCGTCAACTTTTCCAGAACTATCCATGCCCCCAACAACTGATGCCCTGTACCAACACTGCAAAAGGGCAAACTACCAAGCAGCAGCCATAATGAGACAGTGACCTGGAAGACTAGAAATCTTGTCCCTGAAAGTGTGTTGCAGGTAGTCCACTGCAGTCGCAAGCAAGGCAAATGTGAGACTGAAAGATGTTCCTATATGTCTCCAAGACTGTGTTGTACTGATTTATGTCAGTTAAGGTGACCAGACGTGCCACTTCCCGGGGACACGTTCTGCACAGGATTTCTAAATTGCCTAAAATAACCAGGTGTTGGTTGTTTGCGCTGCGCAGAATGATTGTTGTATGACATCAAAGTACGTGTCCCCGAGAAGTGGCACGTCTGGTCACCTTAATGTCAGTGCCAATATTGTGCAAGTGTTTCCCAGAAAACAGAAGAAAGACATACATGGGATGAAGCTCTGATGAGAGTGATAGTGATGATACTGATGAGTAAAGATGTGCCGTGTCATATTTTAGGCTGATTTTGAGCTGTTATGAATCTATTGTAGAGTTGTCCATTTTTGGCATTATTGAAAATTAAAGGGGGTGAGGTAGCATTTTGAGTAATTTCAGCCAAATTGGGCCAGACTGTACTATTTTTTTTTCTTTCTATGATTACACAGTGCCTACTGAAAATTTTCATGTATAAAACATCACAATTTTGTTAAATTTACAATATGTATCTTTAATTATGCTTGGTGACATTCCGTGTAGTTGAAGGGTTTTTTTCTGCGAATTTTCCATATTTCATGGTCTGCAATGCATTCACACTTGAGTATACTAATGCACCAATACATGTCTCAGAAATTTAGGTACATGTATAAATGTCAGTTTGAGAGATATTTTGCATTGCTAAAATGAATATAAATAAAGTTACAAGCAAAACCAGCAGCATAAGATTTTTTTTTTTTTCCAATTCACAATTATATACATTTATGGATTGTGACAAAAAACTGCAGGATATTTTGTGGAGAACTTTTAACCTAAAGTCCAAAAGTAGTGCCCAGGTGTGGGAACGAAAATCACGTTCTAGCCACTTTTTCCAGTTCACCTTATGGCCTAGATGGAACGACATGAGGGTGAGTAATAATGACAGAATTTTCATTTTTGGGTGAACTAACCCTTTAATAGTATTATTAAACATGTACTTTAATCTACAGGGTAAAAGATTAAAAACACACAATTATCACATAAAGTGATGATCCTGTAATTTGTCTCGGTCTGCTGACACACAATGAAATGTGCTTAATGTGCCAATTTACAGAAGATCTCAGACATCATCATAATGAATGAGGAGAAAACAGAGAACTGAATGTGAATCCTGATTTAATAGCAGAAAACAAAAGAGATCATGTATCTTGATCATGTATTATAATTGGGCCAATAATGCAATTTCTCCTGTTATTGTATTGTCGTATCTGCCAAATGTATGGGTCCATAACTTAAAAATGTTACAGTAAAAATATCTGAAGATTTGCATGGTCACAGTCATATGCCTTGGGAATAAGACCACAGTATGACTTTTAACACACCCTCAAAGGCAGCTGAGATAAAGCACCTCCAATTGGGCCAATAATGCAATTTCTCCTATTGTATACTCATATCTGCCAAACTTATGGGTCCATAACTTCAAAATGCTACAGTAAAAATGTCTGAAAATTTGCATGGTAACAGTCAACGGCCCTTGGAATAAGGCCCCAGTGAAACATTCAACGCACCCTCAAGGACAGCTGAGATATAGCGCCCCCAATAGGGCCATGAATGCAATAGCTCAAGTCTATATTGTCAATCATATATGTCAAATTTATAGGTCCATAACTTCAAAATGGTACAGTAAAAATGTCTGAATCTTTTCAGACATTAAAGCCTCTAATGAATCTTTTAACGCACCCTCAAGGACTGCTGAGATTTTGCGCCTCCAACTGGG